CCAGCTTGCCTAGCTTGTGTGGGTAACTAAAAGGTGTATATTCTTTAACTTAAAAATTAACTTGCACAGTGTTTCAAGTAACTACTTCAAAGAGAGTGAGTGCCTTGTTTATTTTTGTATGACTTTTCTCTTGGTTATTGGTAAGAGAGGGAGCTCAGGGAAGTCTCTGTTGTTGGTATTCATCTTTGTTTTGTGTATAGGTTGGTCAGCTCCTCTAATCTTTAGTTGTGTTTTGTTTGTTATTTTAGGCTATACTCACTCTGATTGAGACCCTGGCTTCTGTCAGCTTAAGCTTTACACTTAATACATGTCAGTTATCTTTCCCTTTCAAAAGAATCATGTCGAGTTTTCAGTCTGGGGCTGAGGACTGAAGTGTGTTCTCCATGTTCTCCTTTACCCTTTAATATTACTTTAATCCATTTTAATTTACTTTTCTGTTATGCCTCCCACAAAACATCTAGACTAGAATGGAGGACGTAACAAATTGGGGGCTCGTCCGGGATTTGAAACTGGGACCTCTCGCATTGTTACAGTGTAAACACATTACTTTTATATCGTATTGGTTTTATATTAGAGCATAAAATCATCCTCATGTTGTACAACATTTAGATGCAATGAAAGGTTGCCTATCATATTTCAAAATGTTTCACTCGATTTCACACATTTTTGTCTGGCAATTTAGTTTGGGAAATGCTCAACTAGTAAAATGTGTACAGGTTTATGTAACAATAACACGTTAACTAATGTAGGAAAGTATAAAATATTTACTCGTCAGAAATTATATCCTTCATTGGATCAAGCTGCGCATCGCATCGCATTCTTCTTCTAAGGTAAATTCATAGACTTTATGAGAAACACCCCACTCACCATCATGAACAGCACTGTGGCAACAGTGGCGTCATTCAGGTTTCTCTGCATCACCATCTCACAGGACCTGAAATGAGACACTCATATAGGCTCAGTTGTGAAAAAGGCCCAGCAGAGGTTGTACTGTATTTCCTTTGCCAGCTGAGTAAGTTCAACCTGCCACAGGTGCTGCTTCTGCAGTCATAGAGTCTCTCCTCTGCACTCTGCAACTGTCTGGTTTGGCTCGGCTACCAAATCAGAATCAGAAAGAGATTTATTGCCAAGTGTGTTTACACACACAAGGAATTTGTCTTGGTGTCAGAAGCTTCCAGTACAGAAATTACAAACACAATGCAGACATGCATATAATAATAGAAAGTAATAAAAACACAAATAATAAAGAGAAGACAATAATTATAAATAACAATATAGTAATAAAATATAGAGAAAAAGAACAAAATGTCAGTAGACAGAATTGTGAATGTGCATATGTGCTATTTACAGATGAAAGTTTTGATGAGTTATTTACAGATGTACAGTCCTGAGGTGTGTTATGTGTTGTTCAGGTGGGATATGGCCTGTGGGAAAAAACTGGGGTGTATTCCAGAAAGCACGGTTTACTTACCATCAGCTAAACCCTGAACTTTCGGTTGATTAACCCCAAACCTTGCTTACTCGAGGTATGAAATGCCGATCCATGTGTGAGATGATAATATAAAATGTAATAAATAAATATATATAATATAATAAATTAAACATTACCTTGTCAGTGTTTTATAATTTATACAGATAACTGTTATATATGCTAATAAAATAAATATAATAACCATATTAGAATAATATATTACCTTATCTATTACTTATATTAGCGCTTCATCATTAACATATCATACAAATATATATATATATAGTAGGCTATATTACATATTGTAATATTATATAATGTTGTGCACTATCTGTCACGCCCACTGATGGCTCGTCAGTAGATCACACGTGCGCTGAAGTGAACTAACCCTGGAACAGAACCTACTCCGGAGCAGGTTATCTTCAGAGAACAAGTTACTATGATTACTTACATACCCTGAAAGTAACCTCCGATTTTGGAACCGAAAGCTGAGGTTATCCGCTCGCTTATCCTCAAATATACCTGGGTATGTCACATAACCTGCTTTTTGGAATACCCCCCTGTTCTTGTGTCTGGTTGTTTTGGCGCTCAGTGCTCTGTTGCACTGACCAGAGGGCAACAGTTCAAAGAGGGAGTGTGCTGGGTGTGGGGTCCAGAGTGATTTTACCAGCCCTTTTTCTCACTCTGGAAGTGTAAAGATCCTGGAGGTTGGGCAGTGGGGCACCAATAATCCTCTCAGCAATCCAATCAGACCTCAGAAGACAACAGAGGATAGTCCAGACTGCTGAGAGAATCATCGGTGCATCCCTTCCCACTTTGCAAGAGCTGTACATATCCAGAGTGATTAAAAGGCCTGGTAAAATCACTCTGGACCCCACCTCCTCTTTGAACTGTTGCCATCTGGTTGGCGCTACACAGCACTAAAAACAGCCAGGCACAAAATGAGTTTCTTTCCTCAGGCCATCTACTTCGGTTAAATGCCCCCAATGTGTGTGATTCACAACACCATTTTTTTTCCTGGCACACCATACCTCTTATTCTCATTTTAATCACATATTCTTTGCATTTGTACATAACATACATATATTGTCCATTTTGTTTATTGTGTTTATATACTGTCATATATATACAGTGCTAAAATTTATTAGACCACCACCGCCCGATGTAAGGTTTGTGCCACAGCTGCCCTAAACTAACAGTATTTCTGTCAGGACCACTATCGTCAAAATGATAGATACTTAGCATAAAGTTTGGTTTGGTGGTATGGTTCTGTTCTGGGCAAAAACCTCCCTGCCCATCCATGCAGCCTGTCATGAATGAGCAGGGAGAGCAGCAATAATAACCCCCCTAGGGTTAACAGAACAGAACAAGGCAGATATCATTAATGTACTTAATGATATTTAAGTGTAACACTTTATTCAAGATAAAGGAGTCTGATTAGCAAGGAATATCAGAAAGCCAAGTCCTGACTGTGGCGAAAGGAGGAGCTGGGGATGGAGGAGGTTAATTTGCTCCGGAGCAAGCTGAAAAGCTGCTGAATAATACTGAATAGAGCTTATATAGGAATGCAGCGATAGGTGTCGTATTCCTATAGGTAGATGTGATCAGCTGAGAAACATTAGCTTCTTGCTGTTGCAAGTTTAACCAGCACTTGCAGTAACAACCAATAGCTTAAAGCAACAAGCAAGTCTAGCGACAAACATGATACTGAACACTAGATAAGCCCTAACAAGCAAGCAAAATCCCAATAACCTTTATTTTTTTTATTTTTAAAGCACTGGTTGTACTTGCTTAGAATAATTGAACTATATTTAAATCCCTTGTGTCCATTTTATCGCTCCGTCGTAACCTTCCAATCACCACAGAAGTGATTTATTTTTATTTTTTAATGAACATAGCTTGATCTCAGCCAGTTGATCATGTTTAATCAACACATGTCATATCACCCTAATTTCTCATGCTCATATGCTCACGTTACTCAGCGTGAGCACATATTCAAGCGGATCAGAAATGATGAATCAATCATAAGTATTGAGTGGCAGTCCAGCAGGGGAAGCATACACACTGCGGAAATACTTCGAATGACGGTCATTATTACATTCTTATATGTATAGAAGCCATTAGGAGTGATAAACGCGTGCTTCTGACGCAGCTGAAATCAACCTCACACTCACACAGCTAATGAAAACATCAACCTTAGACAACCGTAACATTGAGATTATGCCGCTGAATACAGCGAACCCCAGTTGAAATGCATACACGAAAATGCTTGTTTCATTTAAACTTGTTCTCATGGCCTTAACTATCGGCGTGTCCTCAGAGCGATTATA